CAAACTCTGACTTGAAACTAGTGACTGACAAAGCTACTATGATAAAAACAGGATGCAAAGAAACAAGGCTCGAGGATCAATAGGACAGATGCCGAAACAGCTCCAGACATACTTAGCCACCTTATCTTTGACAAAGGTGACACACATCTACACTGAAAGAAAGCAAGCCTCTTTTACAAATGGTGCTGCAAAAACTGGCTTTCCACAAGACGAACACTAAAACTAGACCCATAACTTTCACCACACTAAACTAAAATCAAAATGGATCAAGAGCTAAATATTAAAACCAAAACACTACATCTGTTGGAAAACAAGTAGAACTCTTGAAGACATAGGCATAGGCAAAGATTTTACGAACAAAACCCTAATCACACAGGAACTATCACAAAGGCTCAACAACTGGGATCTCATCTTATTAAAAACCTTTCACACAACAAGAGAAATCATCAAAAGAGTGAAGAGACAACCCAAAGTGTTAAGAAAAAAATGTTTGTCAGCTGTTCTTTAAAAGACTACTATCTAAAATATATAAAGAACCCCCAAAATTAGACCCTTTCATATTTAAAGACTCAATCCAAAAATGGGCATCTGAAATAAACAGCTACTTCTGAGATAAAGAAGTAGAAATGGTAAATAAATAATATGAAAACATATTCATCACTGGTCACTAACTCAAGAGATGCAAAACAATACTGAGATTCCATCCAGCCCCAAAAAGACTAAAACAAATCAACCAATAACAAATGCTGGAAAGGCTGTAGGGGAAAAGGAACTCTTGTCCACTGTTGGTAGGAGTGTATGTAGACTGACACAACTACTGTGGAAATCAGTCTGGAAATTCCTCCAAAAGGACTAGAGGTTCCACTTGACTCAGCTATTCCTCCTCTTAGTATCTTCCCAAAAGAATTAAAAGTATCAGACCACAGTGATATATGCACACACAAGTTTATAGGAGCACAGTTTATTTTTTTATTTTTTATTTTTTTTGTCTTTTTCATTTTTATCGGTACCAGGGATCGAACTCACGACCGCCTGCTTGCAAGGCAGGTACTTATGCCGCTGAGCTAAATCCCCAGCAGGAGCACAGTTTATAATAGCTAAATCTTGGAAATAGTCCAAATACCCACCAGCAGATGAATGGATGAATGGATAAAGAAGATGTGTTTTTTTTTATACACTGGAGTATTGCTCTGCAAGGATAAGCTTGATATATTTCTAGCTAAATGGATGTATCTTGAGGCCAAACTCTTAAGTGAAATAAATTGGACATGTGTAAACATGTACACTGTTCCTCTGGTGTCAGAAACGGAAAGTGTAAATAAGTACCAAAATATATAATAGATATTGTGAAAAACAAAGAAAATGTTCATATGGAAAGGGGAACTGGCTAAGGGGAAGGGAAAAAAGAAGGGAAAAGCTTTTGTAAATGAGGAACAGAAGAGGGGTTGAAGGGAGGATAAGGAAACAGGAAAAAAAGAGAATCAAGCATATCATATTCCCTATAATAAACATGATCACTATGTATACCTAAAACATACCAAAAAACTTAAAAAAAAAAAATAACAAAAAGACATCGGGGATAGTGGCATGTGCGTGTGATTCCAGTACTCAGGAGGCTGAGGCTGAAGGATCCCCATAAGTTCAAGGCCAACCTGGGGTACATGGTGAGTCCAGGCCAACCTGACCTACATAGCAAGACCCTGTCTCAAAAACAATAAAACAAAACTAGTACAAGAAAGATAATTATAAAGATCAAAGAGAATTACGTACTGACGCAAAGACAACAATACAAACAATCAGTGAATGAAAAGAACCACTTCTTTGAAACGATAAACAAAGAAGACAAACACTTGAGCAAATTTACCAAAAGTTAGGCAAAAAACTCATCAATGCACTTAGAAATGGAAAAAAAAAACAGCTATGGAGGCACATACCTATAATTCTCAGGAGGTTGGGGCAGAACAGCCGTAAGTTTGAGATCAGTTTGGGCTACAGAAGGAGTTCAAGCTAGACTAAATTACATGGAGTGACCCTGGGAGGATGTGGGGACAGTCACAACCAACATTCAGAAATTTAGATTATAAAAATAACTCCTTTGAAAATCTATACTAAAACTGAACCAACAGGATAAAAAAGCCTGAATAGTCCAAAACAGCTAATAAAACTGAGGTAGTAATAAAAAAAAACTACCAATGAAAACAGACCCAAGAACTTCAGTAAAGGGCAAGTGGCAATACTCCTCAAAATCATCAACAAACCTGAGAGGTAAGGAATACTACAAAACTCATTCCTGGAAGCTAATTTTAACCAGATACCAAAAATCACAAAAAGTCTTCATAAATAGATTCAAAAATCCTCAGCAACACGCTGGCAAACAAAAATGCAACAAATCATTAAAAACATCATATATGATGATCAAGTTGATTTCATCCTAGAGATGCAAGGATGGTTCAACACATAAAACATTAATAATGTACCATATAAACAAGAGGGGAAAAAGTCACATGATTTTATGTCAACAGATATAAATACATTTGTGACTTAAAAAAAAAAAAAAACTGAGAACAGACATCAAAAGACCTAACCATCGTCTAATAAAAGCCATCTACGCCAAAATCTGCCAACATCACACTAAGTCAGGAACAAGACAAGGTTGTCCACAATCACTATTCCTGTCCAATACAGTACACAAAGTATTATATAGTGCAACCACACAGGAAAAAGAAATAAATGGGTAAGAAGAGCAAAGAAATCAAACTGTATTTGCAGAAAGCATGATCCTAAACAGAGAAGACCCAAAAAATTCCACCAAAAGATTCCTAGAACTAATAAACAATTTCCAGCAAAGTAGCAGGATATAAAATCAACACACAAAAATCATTTGTGTTCCTGAACACCAATAATGAACACATTGAGGAAAAAAATCAAGAAAGCAATACTATTAACAGTGCTCTCACCACCACTTAAATAAAATACATAAGCATTAATCATGAAAATGAAAGATGTGTACAAGGAAAGCTACAGTAATCTGAAAAAGGAGATTGAAGAGAACACCAGAAAATGGAAAGAGATCTCCTATTTCTGAATAGGCAGAACCAAATATTGCCAAAATGACTCATTACTAAAACTGATACATAGATTTAAGGCAATCAAAATACCAAGAGCATTCTTCTCAGAACTACAAAAAAAAAAAAAAAAAAAAAAAATCCTAAAAATCATACGGAATCAGAAGAGACTCAGAATAGCAAAAGCAATCCTGGGCAAGAAGAGCAACCAGGTGGATCACAATCCTGAATCTCAAATTATACTGTACTACAAAGCTACAGTGAGAAAAACAGCATGGTACTGGCACAAAAACAGACAGGTCCATCAACTGAACAGAACAAAAGACACAAAAACAATCCCAGGCACACTCAAACATACGATCATTGACAAAGGGTCCAAAAACATACACTAGAGAAAAGATAGCTCATTTAACAAAATTGCCAGGAAAACTAGTGAGCCATATGCGTAAGACTAAATCGAAACCCGTGTCTCTCACCATGCATTAAAATAGTAAAACTCTTAAAGACATTGTCATAGGCAAGGACTTTCAGAACCAAAGCCCAATTGCGTAAGAATCAACAAATAGGGTTATATCAAATTTAAAAGTTTTTTTGTCTTTTTTGTTTTTATCCATACCAGGGATCGAACTCACGACTGCCTGCTTGCAAAGCAGGCACTTATGCCGCTGAGTTAAATCCCCAGCCCCAAATTTAAAAGTTTTTGTGGAAGAAAAGACCACTTGGGAGATAGAGGCAAAGGCAGAAGGATCACTATGAGTTTGAGGTCAGCTAGAGCTACACACATAGTGAGTTCAAGGCCAGCATAAACTACATAGTGAGACCCTGTCTCAAAAAAACAGAACCAAAAGTAAATTTTAAAAATATACATATATTAAAAAACCTTAAACTATTAGACCCCTCAAAATAAAAAATCCAATCAAAAAATGGGTAAACGTAATGAATACTTCCTTAGAAGTACAAATGGCCAATGACGATGTGAAAAACTGTTCAACTCTGTTGACCATTAGAGGAAATGCAAATTAAAAACTGAGGTTCTATCTTATTGCAGAAAGAATAGCAATTAAAAAACAAATGCTGGATGAAGACTACAATATACAAATAATAATCATTGTTACTATCATCTTGTTTTGAAATCCTGTCATTTTTATTGTATTTTTATTTTCTTTCAAATTAAAAACCTAACTGAATGAGAACTGAAAATTTCTCAAGGTCAACATTGAACCCAATCACTGAATTTGATTTGGTTCTCCTCTAACTTGGTTTGTGAGCACAATTATGCGAACAATCAAATTCATAAACTGAGATACCACTGTATCCCCAAAAGAAGGCCAATAAAAAAGCAAGATTCAGTGGCACTTAGCATTTTCTAGAACTAGGGAACTATCAGGCCTAGGGAACTGAGCTGGCAAGCAGAAAACCAAGAGAATGACAGCAGAATGGGTAGGGAAAAGGGCTGCTGTGCCTTTTATCCCCAAGTGGTGGACACGTTTGGCCGAGCAATCAAAGACCACAAATACAGGAAATACAGCTGCACTCCTACCTAGAATACATGAATGTTAATTCTCTCAATACTCAAAGTAACTTGAATACAAAATTATCTTTAGGGGCCAGAGAGTTACCTCAGAGGCACAAGAGCCTGCCTGGCAAGCATGAGGTTGTGAATTTGATCCCCGATACAATAAATAAATAAAGTTATTTTTATACAATGTTTGCTGCAAGGAAAAAAATTATGCTTTATTATCTGCTAGTGCTGCTCACATCAGAAAGCATGAAAATATGTACTATGTGATAACCAGTGAAACCTGACAACTGAAGTGCTCTGCAGTCTTCTGGGCTTCTATCAAACATTACTCAAAAATGCACATGTGCCAGGCAGACAGGAAAAAATATAGCATTTCAATCCTTGAAGATCAATTTGGGATGAAACCTACTTACCAAAAGCATTTCCTTCTCTTTGCACTGACTCCATGGTCTGTCTGAGATTTGTTCGGCCGTTTTCGATTATCACCGACTTCTGCTGATACCATCTTGCTGGAGACAGCTTGTATACCTAATCAGAAATTTAACAAGTTTCTACTATCAAGACTGAGTTCAAAGACATGATATAACCTGGAATGAGAAAAGAGTACAACCTAAAGTCCTATATCTAAATTTCTTAAGGAGCCAGATGTGGTAGTGCAATCTATGATGCCAGCACTCTAGAAGGCTAGGTAAGGGTAGCAAGAATCTGAGAACAGTCAAGACAAGCTTAGCAAGATCTTACCCTTCCCCAAAAATCCTTTAAAAGGAGTGAGGGGATGTAGCTCAGTGTGAAAGCTCTGTCGATCCCCAGAACCATAAAAATAAACATAAATAAATTTCTTAAGGTACTGAAATTTTGTGTATTTACATGAGATTAATTTCAAATGCACAAAGATTTTAAATAAAAATTCCACTTCTGGAACCAATTTTTAAAGCATCAATACCCAAGTCATAACTTTTAGGCTGACACATTCATTATCTAGTTCTCCCCAAATCTAATTATTCGTCCTCTTGTTGATGGTTATTTGTATGTATTGATCTTTCTCTGTTATATTGTAACAACCCTTTCCCTACAAAAAGATTCATTTTAGTCTATTGCACCCTTAATAGGCATAATGCTTTAAAGACATAAAAAAAAGTTACTGGGAACAATCTTCTTTAAAACTGTTTTCAAGACTGAACTAAAATTGGAAGCAAATACACTGTAGTAAACTCCTGAGGACTTAGTTTATTCCTACACACAAACAAAGAGTTCTTACCTGGGGCCCAAAGGCTCAAATTCAAAGGTTAAATATGCCCAATATGTGCAGGGCAGTATGAAGTAAATTATGCCGTTGTCTGCTTTGTTTTGTTGTAGTACCGGGATTGAACCCAGGACCTCATATATTACACAAGGACTCTACCATTGAGATGCATCCTAAACCTTCTTAAAATTTCAGACTGACAGGGCTGGGGATTTAGCTCAGCGGCATAAGCACCTGCCTTGCAAGCCTGTGGTCATGAGTTTGATCCGTGGTACTGGTAAAAATACCAAAAAAAAAAAAAAATTCAGACTGACCTTGCACTATGTAGCACAAGCTGGCCTAGAACTCTCAGTGATCTTCATTCCTTAACCTCCTGAGTTGCTAGGATTACAGGTATGTGCCACAACATCCAGCTTAAAATTTTATTTTTGAGTCAAGGTCTTGCTAAATTGCCCGGGCACAGATCAAATCTGTAATTTCCTGCCTCAGCTTCCTAAGAAACTGGAATTACAGGCATGTACTATCATGCCACTCTGTTTTTAAGGGAAGAGATTTCAAGGCTTTCATCAGATTTTCAGATATATTCAGAACTGCCCTTTGTGCACAGTGTGGGCTAGTCTAACACTGATGGCTCTAGAGTGCTTAGAGACCACACTAAGAATCATCACCTCTGAGGACAGAATCCTCCAGGCGCTCGGCCATCTCCTGGCACTGCTGCTGGTACTCAGGGCTGGTGAAGCAGTGCTTGGGCTCTGCGAGCTTCCGCTGCAGTCGCTCTAGGCGCTTTTGCTCCTTCTCAGCATCCCGCTCAGCTTGCTGTTTTACCCAATCAGCCATTCTGGGAAGGGAGAGAAGAGATGTAACTGACCCAGCACAGTAGGTAAAGAAATGCTATTATGGTCATATATCACATAGCATTTCAATCAAGACACACGTATGATCAAAGGTCCCAGAACAGTAAAATGGAGCTGAAAAATTATTACTACCTAACAATACCTTGGCCATACTATTAACACATAACTGGATAGGTAAAATGTCCCTAACACAAACAAATGAATTCTCAAATTGTGGTATTTCCCTAGAAAGGCATATTGTACTTAATACTAGGATACTACATAAATTTAACTAAAACCCAAAGATGATTATTAAATTATGGGAAAGGTTAATTCTGACAATAATATAATTTAACTAGGTTTCTGATATGCACGGCTTATGTATAATTCACTAACAATAGGAAAGTATGCTGCTGGTTTAAAAAAAGGTGTATCAATCAAGTGTAAATATCACATTGTTTACCTCAAGGGTAAATAAAGAGCACAATAGAGCATAGACTGGAAAGGGAAATGTGGGGTTGGAAGGGAAAAGGCATTTTTAAAAAAGAATAGAAGGAAAAAAACAGAAAGCTTTTGCAAATGGGGAAGGGAATAAGTTAAAAGAGGGAGGGAACGAGAAAAATATATATATAAATTCCCTATGATGTGGGCACTATGTATAGCAAATATGCACTAATAAAAAATTTAAAAACATAAAAACCAAAACAGAATAGTTTGTGCTGTCATTGGTCATTTTTTATGCTTTGATTTTGTAACTTGAACTATTGCTAAGATAACACTATGTAATATATCAACTAGAGATGATTTCTTAATGTTAATCTTACGCTTTTTCATGATTGACATCTCGCAATCTCCTTCCACTGAGGTCCCGGCAAGCTTCTCGATTGGTTGTCTTCTCAATCTGAGCCCCAAGTGCTCGGAGCATAGATCCAAAACCTGAGCCAAGATGTTGGAAATATCAAGGTTAAAATGTATTGAATACAAGGCAAATTTGGTTTTTTTTTTTTTGTTTGTTTGTTTGTTTGTTTGTTTGCTTTTGAGACAGAGTCTCACTATGTAGCACAGGCTGGTTTTGAACTCTCTTATGTAGCCCAGGCTGGCCTGAAACTTACCATGATCCTTCTGCCTTAGCTTCCTGAGTACTGGAATTACATGTATGTGCTACCATGCCTGACTCAAATTTGTGAAAACAGTCTGGATCACAAGATTGTAAGTGACTTCTACATTCTTTTTACAATTTTTTTTTTTAAAGAGATGAATCAAAGGTTCTAACCCAAGAAACAAAGGGAAAAGGATAGATAACTCTGACATGACCCCATACCCTTTACCTTTCATATCGTATTTCCTGGAGTACTATAGTGTAGACTATCTTAAGAGCTTTAGCCAGGGCCAGATCCTAAGACTGCCAGAGTAAGAAATAAGAGCAAGGGGCTGGGGATTTAGCTCAGGTTTTTCACTGAGTTTAAAAGGAGAGGCAATTTGTCAGTGGTGGATAACACACTTCACTCTTCTGGATTCAGTTCAAACAGTACGAGAGCTCAATGCTCTGAAGCCAAACCAAGTCAGGTCAGATGAAGATAACTTTAGGGTTCCATATCTGCATTTGGCGAAAAGGCTGTTCATAATGTTTTTGCTCTTACTTTTTTCCTCTTCTTAAATGTGTGTGTGGTTATCTCTGTTGTTGTTGCTTTTCTCTTTTTAGATGTATAACTACAGTTAGGACTTATTTACACCAACCTGTAAACAATCGTGTTTCCCAAGGTGATTTTAGGTTGTCCTCTAAATAAGGAGACAAAATACAGATACAAGCAGAAGGATGTTTGATTATTTTAAAGTTCACTCTCTAGCAAACTGGTTAAAATAATGGTCATGTTTCTTCATCTAACCCTCCCTACAGCTTTAGTGCCTAGGTTCCTAAGAGCATCCTGAAGAAGAAAATGGGATTTGTATCACACAATTCCTTCCTTCCTTTATTTCTGAGAAAAGTCTCATTTTGTATTCTAGGCTGGCCTTGAACTCTCAGCAATCCTCCTGCCTCAGCCTTCTGAAAGCTAGGATCACAAGAGTGCACCACCATGCCCAGCTACACATTTTCTTCCTCAAAAGAACTAACGAAAAAAACACTCGAATTTAGATAATAAAGGATCTCATAAAAGCACAACAGACTTGTACACTATAGAAAGAACTTAATCTTGAAACACAATTGTAGAGATTATCAAGGTGTTACAAACAATGAACATTCATGTCTTACCTCCTTTCCCACCGCAAAGTCTAGGTTCCAGACTATAAACGGCTCCATGCTGTACTGGGCCACTGGTGCTAATGAGGGTTCCATCGCATTTCACAAAGAAGCATTCCAAAGGCACATTCTAGAGACAAATTTGAGTTTTTAATGCCTTTTATGACATAATACCTTTTTGTTTACCTTACCTTTTTGTTATTCCATTCACAAGCAGATAGTATATTCAATTAATATTTTTTGAACTAAAAATTAAAGCTAGTAAAAGAGTCATTCATGTAACGCATTCTGAATATAGTTTTTCCTAGTATTAGCTAATCATGATACATTGAACTTTCCGTCTTTTTTGACAAAATAAAAACTATTTATTTTTCCCTAATAGGTCATCTGAGTCCTGGGATACTACATGATGTCTGATTCAATAACTCCAGAGGTCATTTCCTCTGACTTTTTTTTTTTTTTGGTCTTTTTCCTTTTTATCGATATCAGGGATCGAACTCACGACTGCCTGCTTGCAAGGCAGGCGCTTATGCCACTGAGTTAAATCCCCAGCCCCTCCTCTGACTTTTTAAACAGGGAAAAGCCAATTTAAAATTAAAACAATAAAAATCCTGAAAAGTGTAAGTAGACCAAAAGAGAAATATGTACTGCTTTTCTTTTTTTTACAGTGTAGAAGATGAAATTCAGGGCCTCATGCAAGCTAGGTGATCACTCTATCACTGACCTACACACTACCAGAACTAAAGGTTTGGTTTGGTTTTATTGTGACAAGGTGTGACTATGTAGCTCAGGCTGTTTTCAAATTTATGATGTTCCCTCCTGTTTCAGCCTCCTAATGGCTGGGATTACAAGGGTAAACCATCATGCACCTTCTAAGGATACGGTTTTTAATACACCATATAAGCTTCCACATTTTTAGGACCAGCTAGCAGACATGCCTGTCTCTTATACCCCATCACTGCCCAAATCCCCAATATACATTGTGCATGTATCAAACACTATAAAAACTCTCTTTCTAAATACTACTGAGAGAGATATTCAAATTTATATGAAACTAGAAGTACACAGTTAAATCTACAATGTCAGAAATAAAGAAATCCAAACACCAACGGAGAAAAAAAATGCATTATTACTATCTTCCTGAAACAGAAAAGCTGAACAATTCATTCTGAATCACCTTACACAGCTATTTCAAAGGGTATCATCCTTCGTTCTTTCAACTATTAAATAAGTGCCTACTATTGGTCTAGGTACATTTCAAGTGTCTGCATAGTACAGCAAGTAAAAAATCCTGTTGTGTTAACCAAGAGGGTCAAATAGATCTTTAAAATTAGTACTTTTTTAGCCAAAAAAATAAATAAAAAATAATTTTTCTTGTTTTATTTCCTAATTAAAAATGGGGAAAGGCAGAGAAGTCTCTCCCTCCTCCCTGCTTCCTCTCCCTCCCTGTCCACACTGCATCTTTCTGGGGTAATTCAACAATAGCAATAGTTCTAATGAATGTGTGAAACTGAGAAACCTCTGTACTGTGTGCAGACCCACAGTGACAGTCAGTAAAGTGGACTTAGCCCCAGGCATGTTGCCAACATGGGCTCTGGATGTGTGGTTTCCACATGCAGAGCCTCCTTGTCTCACATTCTCTCGGCTTCCCTTCCTTTCCCCTCCATCTCCCATTTTTTTCAGATTTTCTCATCAGACTGTAAACCTTTTGTGTATGGGTTCTTTCCTCCTTTCACCCCCAAAGGAAAAAACTGTAGAGTCCCCCTGAAAAGCTAAATAAAATTAGTACTTTTTTTTTCAAAGAAATATGCTGCTTTTTTCAAACTGCGTCATGATGAGAGCATATGGCCACCTCTCCTCTCTTCAACTCAGGTGGACATATGCTGACCCCAAGAGGCTGGGATCCAGTTTCCACAAGAGAAAAATAAAGCCAAAAACTTAGAGGAGGAAGAGGAATGCAACAGTATGGTATTGTTTTTATGTATTATCTCATAGTATTTCTCCCATTTTTATTCCAAAAGCCCTTCCACATCTTGAGGTGGTGATTTGAGGCATAAAGAGGCCCTTCCATCTCCTTCAGAGCTAGCTTTGAATAAGTCCTTTCTTTTCCAAAAACTGATTCTCATGTTCTTGGGGAAGAGTGACCAATATCTTATCAAATACCTTTTTATAAGTTGTGAAGTTTTTCCTCACTCTTCTTTGTTCCTTATACAGATTAATGGATTTGATTCTGGCAGATTCGTACATGGACATCACATATTTTGATCACCCTGCCCCATTCACTCCCCTGTTAAGTACTGTTTCTATTCACATTTCACATTCACATTCACTTAAACAGAGAGAATGCAATTCTATTTCTTTTCTTTTGGTCTTTTTTGAGATGGGGTCTCACTATGCAGTTCAGGCTGGCCTTGAGCTCACTTGGTAGCCCAGGCTGGTCTTGAACTCACAACAATCCTCCCACCTCAGCCCCCGGAGGGCTGGGATTACAGGCGTGAGCCACCACACCCGGCTGCAATTCTATTTCTTATTTCAAAATTGTTATTCTCAGCTGGGCATTATGGTGCACACTGGCAATCCCAGCACTGCAGAGGTGATACACACTGAGCTACACAGCAAATTCGGGGCCACCCCCTGGACTACATGAAAAAAGAACATAAAACCTTATTCCCAACACTCTTCATAGTTAAGATCGTATTTTTGCTGGTCTCTCTTTGGATTAACTGCCATTTAATTTGAATATGGTACTCAAAAGAATTATTGTCAAACATACTAAAAGTCAACTATTTTGAAAAATACTTCCCCATTTAGATGGTCAAAAACAGTTCTACTGAATTTACCCTGACTTGCAATGTAGAAAGGAAAATGAAGAAGCTGAAAAGCCATATTATTTGCTAATACACAGGTCTTCTAGAAATTTGTATTGTTACTACTGGATAAGATTATAAACAATAAGCAGAGAAAACAGCCTAGCAAAGATAAGGCATGATTACAAAGGAAAAGAGCTCTAGATGGAGTCAAAATTCAAATCGGATTCAGGGAAATCAAATTCTTTAGCTAACTGACCAGGTTTAACATCTCGTAACTGATAAAGGTCTACTTGAGAACTTAATAAAAAAAAAAACAATTTGCCGGCTCCTGAAAGGTTTTCATTCGCCTGTCGTAGTCACAAAAAATAACTATGAAAACACCTATGTAATAGGTCTCAAAAACTCATGCCCTCAGTTAAGACCCTCGTAAATGGCTGGCCCCAATCCATTTTTCTCCACAAGTATCCTTGGCCTGGCTTTGGCTATGACATATAGTACTTTTCTAGGTAGAAGCTAACGGGGCTGTGTGACAAAACACATCTCGTCTACCTGTAGTGTAAGTCCTAACTATCCAACCTCATTTATGAGTAAAGAGCCAAAATGTTGACGACGGAAGGCTCACTACGCATCTGCAATTTTTCTTTTCGTGAAGCAAAACGACCACCGCCACGAAGTAAAAGCAAAGTCCCAATGTCAATTGGAAGCATCTTAAAACTCGAAAATTCAGTGCCAAAAACCCAGAGAAAGGACGCACCCCAATGGGCCCTCTCCAGCGTCCGGCCCCGCTTCAGTCCTTCTCTCTTCCCTCCCTTCCCTTCCTCCGCGATCCTCACCAGATGTTGGCAGTATCGGTGGATAACATCCCGTACTGAGCACCGTGCTGTGTCACAAAACACCGCCTTGCAACCAAAACCGAGGCCGCGAACCCACACTTGCGTCCCTGCCTCCGCCATTTTACCCACTCCAGAAACTACAGAGCGCCGGAAACGCTCGGCACCACGTAAATCACACTGAGTCGCACCAGTATGACGCCACAGCTCTTGTGGCGCCTTGCCCCGCCCAGCTCCGCGAGCCCCTCCCCTCCCGGGGCTGTCACGTGATTCAGCCGCCTACAGAGAAGGGGAGGGAAACAGGAAGGGCCTGATTGGGGCGGCTAAGGCAGCCGAGTACCCTGGCGGGGAGTTCCTTGGAGCAGTTGCTAGGGCGGGGTTTGAGGAACTGGCTGTAAAGAGCTAGTGTTAGGCTGCCTTTGCCAGGGTCTGGCTGGCGCGAAGCACTTTTCTGGACCGTGTGCCCTGGCCCTCTTCCTCGCATCTGTGTATTTTTGATGACGGATCCCTGTAGCGCGAGAGCTCCCTGGAGGCGCCGGAGAAGCTGCCCTCTGCACGCGTGCGGGTGTAATGTTTGCTCTCTGAAACGTCCAAGTCTTGGTTTCTGCCGGCCGCGTTCAGTATGTCCCTTTTCTGCCTAGCTGCTCTACGTTGTTTCCTACGCGCCCCAGCGGTCCCAGCCTTGCACAGCAAGTGGGCCGTGAGAAAACGCTGGCGCGCCTGGGTTCGCCTGGCAGTGTCTGCGCCACCCTGGGCGCCAATGCGCGGGCCTGAAGGGCACTTAAGGCTCCGCACAATGTCGTGGCGTTTCCCAAGCCCTACACAATTTAAAGAGTGAGGTGAAGTGGGAAGATCTTTAGGAGTTATCTGAGTCTTCTAATCACAGGTGACTCTCGTTCTGACCGCCAAGGGGAAAACAACAAAAATTTTCAAAAATCGAGTTGGGAATGGTGACTGCAAGTTCAAGACCAGTCTGGGTTACAAAGTGAGGTAAAGGCCAGCTTCACTGCATAGTAAGACCCTATCTGGAAAAGACAAAAATAAATAATTTTTTTAAATTATTTTTTTTTTAAAGCCAGTCAAATTTAGCAGTGGGGGGAATTTTTTTAAAATTAAAAATCGTCTGTAACAGTGTGAGCAAAAATGGAATATCAAGGTCTGTGAAGTTAAGATTGTTGCATTTGGCCAGGACATAGCTCAGTGGTACAGTACCTGTCTGGCAATCCCAAAAGAAAAGTAACCATTTATACACACAGAAGGGAACGTGAGAAGGAAAAGGAATCCATGGTGATTCCGGGAGATGAAAAACATAAAATTAACTATGTTGTGTCTAGAAGTAGTATTTTACAAAGGAGGTGTCCTGGTGACCATAGGATACATAGATGTCCCACCAAGCTTATGCAAGCAGTCCAAACTCAGGTATCCCTTAGTCCTATCTCTCCAGCTCTCCATTCTCAAGGATCCTACACAAGTAATCCAGAACCCTGAGCCTTAATTTTTCTTTGCTTAATCATGATTTCTACTTTCTAGAGATACAAAATGGCTACTTAAGGCCCACAGTGGTAATCCCATCTACTCTGGAGTCTGAGCCAAGAAGATCCCAAATTCATGCTCAGCCTGAGCCACACAAGGAGACTCGAAAAATGTTAAGGAGTGGGTATGTAACTCAACGTAAGGTCCTGGGTTCAATACCCTATACCAAAAAAAAAAAATCCAAAAATGGTTATTTCACAAATCTGGGTTTTTCTTCTCCTACAAATAACAATATAAAAGTCACTTTATATTTACATAATATTTTTGTCATAATAATGCATTTATTCAATAAGGATTAGTTAAACCCTCCTTATGAGTTCTAATATCATTTATTCCTAACATTAAGTCCAGTCCTCTCCAAATCTATAGTCTGAATGGATTTATTCACTTTTTATCCTTCTGTTACATTTAAATTCCTACTTATAGGGTCCCAGGTATTGAATAGGAATTTCTCGTTTAAATTGTAAAATAAAAAATTAAATGTGGATATATAAAAATATATGAAATAACTATTATTAACCTTTCAAAGAAGTTTCTCAAGCAATATATAAGCCATTGTTAGACCTTTACAACCTAACACAGAAGAGACATCCATTAAGAATTGGCTAGATAAGGGGCTGGGGATTTAGCTCAGTGGCATAAGTGCCTGCCTTGCAAGCAGGCAGTTGTGAGTTTGATTCCCAGTACTGACAAAAAGGAGTAAGACAAAAGAAAGAATTGGCTGGATATCAGATGAGTTACTAAGGTAGTAAATCTATTCCCAGTGAAAGCCTGAAGAAACATATTTTGCACTGATATAAAACATTCTGTCCTAAGGATGCAGAATTCAACTTGGATTTCTCACTATTTATTTACATAATGAGAGAAACTGAGGTACCTGGAGTTAAGGCTATAGCCAAGAACATGGTGCGTATTAGTGGATAAAAATCTAAAAAGACAGATTGGTTGGACTTCAGAGTATAGTGAAGGGAGGTGTCCATGTACTATAGCCAGTGCTACACAGCCAGGCTAGTCAGTGATTATAGAAAAAAGAGTCACTACTGCCACCTTCCCCCATTGTGGTATCAGGAGGGGAAAGCCAGGAAAGCACAGGCGTGGTGATAACTCAGTGGAGTGTGGGGTGGAGCCAGTTCCTCTATTGTCAAAACACTGCAGTTTTGCTTTTAGGGCCCTATTTGCTGTTCTTTTCAGCAAACCACACTGGCTTTGTTCCTGCCTGTGTCCCCAAAAGAATGACTTCAGCTGTACATTTGCTTTTTTGAAGACTGGCTGAGCCAATGAGCAGGACATTAGGAGAACATCCTGAGGCAACACTGAATATTGTTCCCTGCCAGGAAATGACAGCACCAGAAAGGCAGTGCCTGTGTGGCAACTCATGCCAGGGCTTCACTGAGCCAAATGTCCTGCTGTGCTGGAAGAACAGGAAACAGAGCTGCACACTGGCAATTTCCATAGACAATAGACGGTTTCCTAAACTAGTGAGCCTACAGACTGCACATGTGTGATATGGAAGTTGCACTTCTGTGCTTTCATGTCCAGAGGAGAGGAAAGAAAGATGTTCATTCTCTATAAAAAGCAAAGCCTCCTTGCCACAAGCACAAAACTGCCGCAATTATCCGAAATTAGCCAGGAACAAGGAGGCCAGCTCATAGGATAGAAAAACTGCTCCGGGGTAAGAACAGTGTAGCCCTCACTCGGCGGATGGTGGGAGGTGGAGCCTAGAGTGAGGCCCCAGGCGTCTGGCCGCCAGGAGAGGCAAAGCCCTGCCCTCCTCCTTTTACGGGTTGGAAGAAAAGAGGGTGAGTTAAGGATGAGGGCCGGGAAGGCGGAAGAGGCTGGCGTATGCGCGCCTCTGCTGGGAAGGAGCGGGAGCATGCTGGAAGAGGACTGGAATAGAGGTGCAAAGCGAAGACAAAAAACTCGACTCGCTGCCGGTGCGGACTACCGAAGCCTCCTCTTTGTACTCCAGTCAACATGATGAAAGGTGCTTCCTGCGAATGACTTCTATATATAATTCTGCCACTAACTACCCTTCCTATCATCTACTCTCAGTTGGCAAGACAGCAGTACTTCACAGTGTCTCTGGATTATCATTCACACCATCACCATCAAAATGTTTGTTCCATTAAAAAATTTAACTTCTGTCTCCATCGGTTTTATCATGTTGTATCTTATTGGATTTTATTATATGTGATAATATAAACAAAAATTTTTATAGACAAGGAGATAATATAGAAACCATTGTTCGTTTTCTGTTAGTTGGTTCTAAATACCCTGTAAATACTTTTACCCTCTTGAATGGTTTTACACTATCTTGTTATGTTTGATGTTATAGTATATGAAGGTATACTCAAATATGTCAAAGAAAGAGACACTATCGTAACTACGGTTGTGTCGGGTTATCTTGTGGTGAAACACTATGTTACTTAAATTGTTCTGTTCTGACCTGTGTTGTTATATCCTCTTCTATCTTAATCTCCCTTTTTTTTAATTAAAAAGATTTAACTTCTGGGAGCTAGTGGTAGACTCACCCAACGTGTGAAAGGCCCTGGATTCAATCCCCAGCATTTAAAAAAAAATTTGCTGTAGTATTCATTGTATTATTCATTGTGATATTCATTATAAATTGAAACTACCAGCATCTGTAGATGTTTCATGTTAGCACTGTGATTTTTTATTTTTATTTATTTATTTTTGAGGCAAGATCTTACCATGTAGTTCAAGCTTGAACTCACTATGTAGTGCTCGCTGATCTCAAACACACTACAATCATCCTATCTCAGCCTCCTGAGTCCTGAGATTACAGGTGTGTGCCACCACACCCAGCTACCAGTGTAATTTTTAAAATATGGAATATGATTTCACTTTAGTCAATAAAAATCCTTGACCCTTTATGAATTCTGCATAGTTCAGCCTTACAAGAGTTTTGTTTTTTGTTTGTTTACCAGTTGTGGTGCTTGACTACAATCCTCGCACTCAGGAAGCTGAGGCAGGAGAATCCCAATTTTGTGGGGTTTTTTTTGGCTTTTTCCTTTTTACCCGTACCAGGGATCGAACTCATGACTGCCTGCTTGCAAGGCAGGCGCTTATGCCACTGAGCTAAATCCCCAGCCCCCGAGAATCCCAATTTTGAACCCACCCAAATTACAGAACAGGGGCTGGGGGTTTAGCTCAGCGGCATAAGCGCCTGCCTTGAAAGCAGGCAGTCGTGAGTTTGATCCCCGGTACTGATAAAAAGGAAAAAGACAAAAAAAAAAAAAAAAAAAAAAACAAATTACACAACGAGACCTTGTCTCAAAAACACACACACACACACGGGGGTGGGTGCTTTTCCTAGTCTTTTGGAATATTTTTCTTTAATTAGTTGATCCTACTGTATTAGGGTTCTACAGAACAGGGAAATGACTGAATGGATGGATGGATGGATAGGTAGCCAGGTAGACACCATTCTAGAGGCTAACAAGTCCCAAGATCAGCAGAGTAAGACTGCAAGTGGGAGAGCCAGCAGAGCTAATAATGAAGTTGCCATCAGATATTAGCCGGCTGGAAACAGTTCTGGTCCTCAAGTCCTAAGGTGATGAAAATGTGTGTTTAGCCTGTAAACACAGTGCGATTTTCTGGATCTTGATAGAAGGGGAGAGAGGATATAATGCGGGTCACGTGATG